TTGTCTGGCTTCATGTTCTTGCTTTGGTTGCTTTTGCCTGTGATGGTTGACTACAATCGACATGCATTCCCATTCATCATTCCTTTCGTTCTTCTCGTTGCTTTGTATTATTACTCGTCATGCTTCATTTGTTCTTGACTCCCCTGTTTTTATCGACCTTGACTTCCACATTCATTAGCCCTTGCTCACTACACTATCGATTCTCAACTTTGTTTTCGTCAGTCATGATCAATAGTTGTGCATGCAATGTATTTTGTGTTGACCCTGTTGTGTCGTGAACATGGTGATCTGCTGATCGATCAACCGCGCCCTGCCTCATCGACCTCAACGTCACCCGAGTTCATCCCATTGCCTGTTAGCTTTGTCCAGTTCCTGTTGGCTTACTCATACGTGTGCTGTGCAAGCCATGTATGATCTTTGGTTGTTGTTGTGGACGTCATTGCCTCGTTTGATGCTGGTTCCGGCTTTTCTTCAATTAATTCAACGTTCAACTCAATTGACGTCCGCCGCCTTTCCTCTGCCGCCCAAGCCCCTCCACCCTCATCAACCACACCCCACACACACCCATCAGCCGTATCATACTCACCTTCATCAATGCTCTAGCCCAATCTTCATACCCACCACCTCTTCGCCAGTCCCGCCACCCACGTCACGACCCCCCTCATCCACCCCTACCATGCTCATTACGCCCCATCACCACAAACCACCACCCTCACCGCCTACTCCACCACTTCCACTCTCATTTCAACCTCAACTACCACCCCCATGCCATGGCCATACCCACCACCATCTCGTCGCGCACTCCGCTTCCTCTTCCTCCTCATCCTCCTCGTCTCCCCGCTCCAACTCACCCTCATCCTCTACCCGGACCCCAACACTGCCACCGCCCAACCATCACATGCCTTACTGCCCATCCACCAACCAACGGCAATCTCAAGCCACCCAGCCTCGACCCCGCCCCCTCAGCTGCTCCGCCTCGCCGACCACCAGCCGCAAGCCGTCGCCCGCTCGCCCGAACAGCCGACCCTCTTCACCACCTAGCTCCCACCCACCACCAGCTACACAACCCACGACCACACCCAATGTTATCACTCACCGTGCACTATCACCAGTACAAATATCGCCGTCATCCATTCCCATCTTCCTCGGCTCATTTCCGCGTCGACTTGTTTGCCCTAGGCGGTTGAGCACGTCCTCGACCGCCCGACCCCGCACATGCCCCCCACCAACCTCATTACCAGCTATACCCAATCTGATTTCACTACTACTCTACTACACGCTCACCCTCCCCCCTTGCACAATCTCCAATCCACAGCTGCAGTATTTCAGAATCCGAGTTCTGCCACCTGAGGCCCAAGCTGTTGGCCCTGTGTCCCTTCGATGCTGCTGACTCCCCTGCCGCGGGCCCATCTCCGACCCCCACTCCCCAACCTGTCCACCCACAACCACCACACCAACACCCCACATACTCACTACCCCTGCAAACATAGCCACCCACTTCCCGTTCCCCGATACGTACATCAGCCGACGCCAACCCGTCAACAGCATCGCTGCCGGCCGCCTGCTGCCCACCGCCGACCGCCGCCCGCCGCCGACCGACCACTGCCGGCACCACCAAGAGCAAGCTAGCCATCGACAGGGCATTGGAGACAATGCATAGAGATAGCCACATCATTGGCAATGACTACCAGTCCGCCCTCCAACCCATTTCTCCCCTCCCTTCTCCGGCCTTGCCCGTCACAGCCCCCGCCGGCCTGCTCATCGCCAGCCACCCCTGCTGCCGATCACCAAGCCAGACGACGAAGCCACCGGGCTGGCCAAGACAAGGAAGAACAAGAGAGGGCAAGGCCAAGCGATAGGCAATGCAGTGGGTGGGCTAGAGTGCAGTGGTCTGCCTCCTCCTCCAATCCCAAGCCATCGTCTCCATCGACACCCATCTCAATCCAATCCGTCCGCCCTCCTCCCCCTGCCGCCCAACTGCCCGTCTTCTTCATCGCCCACACTCCACACACAGCCGTAGCTTTACTATACCCACCCTTATCATAGCGGGAGTCGGCTGATAAGAGGACCTTGTCGTTCGAAACGTACTAGGAGAAGCCTTGCAGAGCTCGATAGGATGTGATAAGGTCGGGCGGGGTGAGACTGAGCTCGACAGGCAGAAGGCGCAGTGCGATGAAGAGCTCAGTTGCAAGGCCGCCAGCTCGTCCGAGGTAAACCAGCCGTCAAGGATCGAGGACTTGTCCTCTCCGACGGCACAGACCGAAGTGGATGAACTTGTCTCCGCCCACGTCACGTGTCTGGAAGCGGGAGATCTCCCACGTAATGCGGATGCCAGCGTCGTGTCGTCATGGTGGCGCCGCTTGAGCCGGGGCCATGCATGGTCCGCTGCTGTGCCAAGCCCAATCAAAGAGCGTCCAGCCCTCGGTCGGGACTTTTCTGTGTATGTTGTGGAACGCGGGAATGGTCATGTGGCGTGCAGGCACACACAACATGCCCCACCCGCCGATCCAGCCGCGTTTCCCCCATCGCTCACGCAAGCAAATACACCCCAACTTTCTCCACGGCCTCCTCGCACTCTTCTGCAATATCTGTCGCCTGCCGTGCTGGAGATGTCTCCGGATGTTGTTGCCACGGACAACTTGCGCCGGGAAATACGAAAGTGTGGCACTTTCTTCGCTGGATTGTGCCCTCAGCACAACCGAGGACAACAAGGTAGGGCCCAGCGATGTGAAATGGCCATTGAGGACGACGGCGGTTATAGCGATTGCAGTAGTCATCTCGAGATCAACAACAATATATTGTTGCTCATGTGTCCACCCAAGTAGTTACCACATGACCTGCAAACTCGCCAATTTTGCGATCGCTCCGCTTCACGCATCAGCCTCCCACAGCCGGTTTCACCCAGGCGTCAGGGTCCTCGCCCTCGCCCTACCTGCCACCACCTGACTACCACCGCCATGTCGCGTGCCCAGTCTCGCTGGGCCCTCCTCCGCGCCGCGCTCCTCTCTGGCAAGGTCACCTCCCCGACCGCTTTGTCGGCTTCGTCGGCTTCGTCGGTCTCGGTCCGCCGCCACCCTGGCTTTCGCCTCCTCCCCCGCCCGCTTCCGTCGTCTCCGGCTGTCGCTGCCGCTGTTGCCGACGCCCCGCCTGCGCTTGCCGACGGTAACCCGCTTCACGTCTCACTTCCTCGCCGAGGCGAACGCGATGGTGAGAGTGCTCCTGATGACATGGCCGTAGTCTCTGTGTGGGAGGTTCCGCCAAAGGTCTCGGCTACCACGCTGATGGGCAACAACAATACCGGCAACATCTGCATCTGGCCGTCCGAGGAGGTCCTCGCCCATATTCTCCTCACCCGCCACGCCGGCCTTCTCGCCCGCGACTCGTTTCGGGCCATCGAGCTTGGCGCCGGCATGACCGGTCTTGCCGGCGTTGTCGTTGCGGCTGCAGCGGCTTCCGACACTGCCGCGGTTGTTGTCACCGACGGCAACCCGACCTCGGTTGATCTGCTCTCTGCCAATCTTGCCACCAACCACGGCGTCAGCGTAGCACCCTCCAAGACGCTCGTCGGGGCACTCCTTGAGTGGGACGCTGCCGTAGACTACTCGGCCGATGTGGCGTTGTGGGGCGGTCGCTTTGATCTTGTCTTTGCCGCCGACTGCCTCTTCTTCGAAGCTGTCCACTCGGGCCTCATCCATGCCATTGCGTCTCTGCTCAGCGACGCGCCGCATGCTCGCGCCGTTCTTGTCGCGCCGTCCCGCGGCGGCTCTGCCTCCAGATTCCTCGACGCGGTTGCCGCCGACGGCCAGCTCACACTCATCCACGCCACCCTCGACGCCTCCTACGACCCCGATCTTGCTTCCCAGCACGCCGAGTTCTCCGCTACAGACCCCCGATACGAGCCTGATCTCCACTTGCCGCTCCTCATCGAGCTTGCCCTCACCCCACCACAACATAGACCGAACGACGTCCTTCCACCACCGCACCTGCCGCAGACCATGATCCTCCCCTCCTCTCGTTCTCCTCCCACCCGACGCACACGCCTCTCCCTCTCTGTCGACCACGGCGAGACCAGCACACCGTCATGACCACACTGGGCTTCTCGAGTGCCCCGCTTGACGCACTCAATGCTGACTGCCCCTACACCAACAAGCTTGGCGGCCAGCCGGTATGGCTCCGTCCACCTCCGCCCGAGCTGGTGGATGGCCTGCTCGCCTGCCCGACCTGCGGGAGCAAGATGACCCTCATGGCACAGCTCTACACGCCGCTTCATACACATCCGCGTCACCATCGGGTCCTCTACCTACTGGCATGCTTGACGCCACCCTGTGCCGCTACATCTGCCGGCTGGCGTGTCCTCCGCGACCAGCTTGACCTCGACTCGGTGCCGTACCTCGTCCGCGCCGCCTCGGTGCCCAAGGCTGCCCTGGTGGCCTCCGCCGAGGCTGCCGCAGCTGCCGCCGCTGAGGCGTCCGAGGCCGAGGCCAAGGCGCAACCGTCGGCAAGTGTCTCGGCGGCGGCGCTCATGTTTGGCTCCGACTCGGACTCGGACGACGACTCAGACGACGACTTTGCCGCCCTCCTTGCTGCCCGCGATGCCGCGGCCTCGTCGGCCTCGTCTTCGGCCGCAGCAACCAAGCAGAAGCACGGCAGTGCGCCACCAGCAGCGTCGTCGGGCAAGTTTGCAGTCATTGCTGTTGATGCGCCGCCGGCCTCGAGTGAGGCCACCGTCGGCGAGCTTGTCGACTTTGATCCCAGCGAGTGGCCGCAGCTATACCGGCCCGAACGTGGCGCTCCACTGCTGGACGCCGCACTCGACCCGTACGGAGTGACGGCTGCCCCGGAGCCTTCCGGACGTGCTGCCGGCGACAAGGACGTCGACGACGTCGACGGTCTCGCACACCTCATGGCCGGCGTGTCGCTCGAGGACGCCGGCGGCGCGAGCTGCGACCGTGCGAGTGGACCGGGCGACGACGATGAGGTCTACGAGTCTGTGGGCGGCGCACTCTTCCGCGCCTACTGCGAGCGAGTCGCGCGTGCGCCGTCGCAGCTGCTGCGGTATGCGGCCGAGCCGCTGCTTATCGAGCCGCTTGGCAGCGTGGTCGACACCGAGTCGGACTCGGACGACGAGGGCGAGGCCCCAGCTCGCGCTTCAGCCGCCGTCCCGCCCTGTCGACGGTGCGGCGCGGCGCGTCTCTTTGAGCTCCAGCTCCTCTCCTCCTTTATCAACGAGTACTCTGACGAGAGCCTCCCGCACGCGCGGGCTATCCAGTCTATGGCCTGGGGCACTGCGCTCGTCTTTCGTGCTCGGCCTCGTGCGACGGCGACCTCACAGCAGAGCACATCGTGGTGCAGAGCGCAGAGCGGATCGAGTAAATGCTCACAATCACAAAGCAACACCCAAGTTCATCACATCGTTTGCTGGTAAGTGCTGTTGACGTCCCGGAGGAAGACAGAAGAGAGGGGGAGGGGGGGAGAGAGAGAGGAAGAACCACGGCGCAGTCCGACTACTGGTAGGCGCCCGAGACGATGACGTCGTCCAGCTTGAGAATCATCTTGACCATCTGGGTGGCGAGGCGGAACTGCTGGACCTTGGACGAGAGCGGGTCAAAGACGCCCTGGGCCTTCATGTCGTTGGTGCCCTTGAGGGCGCAGTCGACGCCGAGGAACGAGTTACCGGTCTCGACCTGGGCAGCCTTGACGGCGGCGAGGGTGCCGACCGGGTCGAGGCCCGAGTTGGCGGCGAGAGCCATGGGGATGTCATCGAGCGCGTTGGCAAAGGCGCGGATGGCGTACTGCTCGACGTTCGAGTGCTTGTCGGCCGCGTCCGAAACCGCGAGCGAGCAAGTGATCTCGGCGGCGCCGCCACCGTAGATGATGGTGGACTCGCGGACGAGGTTGCGTGCCACGCAGAGCGCGTCGTGGATCGACCGCTCGGTCTCCTTGACAATCATCTGGTTGCCGCCACGGACAAAGATGGTGACGGCCTTCTGGTTCGGGCAGTCCTCAAACACAATCATCTTGTCCTTGGTCGTACCGAACGAGAGCTCGCGGACGGTGCCCGCAGTCCCGAGCTTCTCGGGCGTCAGGTCCGAGAAGCGCGGCACAATGTTCCCGTTGGTGGCGATGGCAATGAGCTCCATCTCCACTCCGCCGATCCACCGGATGGCCGGCAGGTCGTTCTGCAGGAGGAGGTGGTTGGCCTCGTCGTCAAAGCCCCACTGCGAGCACGCAAGCGTCGCGCCCGACGCCTTGACCTGCGCCACCATCTCGGTAAAGTATGCCTGCTCCTGCTTGTACAGCTTCTCAAACTCCTCCTTCGACTTGACGTTGAGCTTGTGCTTGGTCTTGGGCTTAGGCGGCTCGAACGGGCACGTCAGAATCGCAATCTTGACATCCTTAAGCTCCTTGTCCATCTGCGGGTGCGAGAACTGCTTGTCGATGATCACGCCCTTGATCAGCTGCGTGTCCTCCATCGCGCCACCCTCCTTGCCCACCACCTTGATGAGCTCAAAGTCGACGTCGCGCCGCTCGAGGTCCGCCACAGACAGCACAGCGTCCACGCACACCTCGGCAAGGTGCCGCAGGTCGCGGTTGACAATCTTCGAGCCGAGCGAGGTCATGCACGTCTTGACAAGCTGCTCCGGGTCCTCCGCCGTGAACTCGAACGTGTCCGCCTGCGTCTTGAGGTGCTCCACCGCAATGTCGCACGCCGTCTCGAACCCGTCCGCAATCCGGATCGGGTGCAGCCCGCGATCGAGCAGGAGCTCAGCCTGCTGGAGGAGCGCGCCGGCAAGGACCACCACACCGGTCGTCCCGTCGCCGATCTCATCGTCCTGCGCCTTGGACAGCTGCACAAGGAGCTTGGCAATCTCGTTCTCCACCTGCATCTCCTGGAGAATCGTCGCGCCGTCGTTCGTCACAGTCACACCGCCGTCACCGTCGACAATGATCTTGTCCAGTCCCTTGGGGCCCAGCGACGACCGGAGCGTCGACGCCACAGTCTTCGCCGCAAGGATGTGCGCCTTGTGCGCCTCAATCCCGCGAAGCCGCGCCTTCTTCTCCTGCTCGCGGAGGATAAGCACAGGCCGTCCATTCTCGTCAAACGCCAGAGACACTACCACACCCGACACATCCACCGCCAGCCACACACTCTGTCAGTCATGCCCCTGCCTCGCCCCTGCTCCACTCCTCGCCCGCCGCGCCCCTGCCCCTTCCCTCCCCGGGTCGCCTTGAGGTGGATGCTACCGACACTCAAAATATTCCCACCGCGCCAACACACGCCGCCCAAGGCCCTTGCCCCGCTCCCGCTTCCCCCCCACACACACCCAGCCGACCTTCTCCAGCCCGCTTGCCTCCCCTTTCTCCCTCTCTCCACCCTGCATGCCTCCTCTCCCCCCCCATGCTGCCCTCTTGCCTGCTCTCCGTACTCTTGTGGAAGTCACGACAAGTTTGCCGTCGCCTCGCGATCCCGCCCGCCCCCTCTCCTCCCACCACCACTCATTCAACAGCTCATCATTTTCTCGTTCACTCTCCCCCCCCCCCTCCCTCCCACCTCCCTTTGGCGCGAACCTTCCCGCCATCCTGCCACCTCCCCTCGGCGACACCTTCCCGTCTGCCCCCCCCCCCCCCCCCCCCAATGGCTGTTGTTGGCTCGGCTGACGGTGTGGCTGTCATCGGCCCCTCGGGCTCGGGTAAGACAAGGTTGATACTTGCCTTGGCTGCACTTGCTGCTGGCGGTGAACCTGCCTTGCTGCGGACAACGTGGCTGTTGGCCCCGTCGCGGCTGACCGGGTACGAGACCACAAGCCTGACCGTCGACGGTGACGCCGTTGTCCTCCATGAGGCTGGTGGCTCGCATGCCAACACCTGGGCACAGCTTGCGGCTCGCTGTGGCAAGGTTATGTTTGTCGTCGACGCATCGGCGCCCAACGCTGCGACCGCCGCCCTCGCCGCTTGGGCCGGCCTCGTCTACGGCTCGCCTGCTGACGACGATGCTGCGCTTCCTGCCGGTCTCCATGCTGCTGCACTTGCCGATCCCATCGAGCTTGGCATCGACGCTGACGTTGTTGCCGCCGTCTCGCCGCTGGGCCGCTCACGCCTCCCGCTCGCCGACAACGTCGACGTTCTTGTTGTCCTCAACAAGATCGACCGCCGACGAGCCAACGCGCTCACACCACACGATCTCCGCGAGCTCTTCGACACTCTGCCCAACGATCCACATGCTCCGCGCAACCTCTCCATCGTCCAGGTCTCTGCCGCTGAGCTGACTGGTACGCCAGCTATTCTCGAGTGGCTCTCCCAATGGTAGCGATCCTAGCCGACCACCCATCACCCACCATCCATCATCCACCATCCACCATCGACGCGCCGTGGAGGCTCCGTCGTGGCATCAAAGTCTCTGCGCTACCTCTCCCATCCTCCGATTCTCCACCTTGTCGACCCATCTCCTCACTGCCTCCGCCACCGCCACCGCCACCGCCACCCACACCTCACCCTCCACCACACCATGCACGCAGGAATCTACACCACCGTCGCCATCATCGTGGCTCTGGCTCTTGCAGCTGCCACCCCGGCTGTGACCGCCGACCCCACTGCGGTCTTCTCCTTCCACACCACCTTCCAGGGGTACGTCTCCTCAACCAAGATGGATGCCTCTCCTCCCCTCCCCTCCTCCCCCCCCTTTCTCACCCATGCACACAGCGAGTGGGTTCTGCAGCGGACTGAGTCGCTCGCGTCCGAGATGTTTGCGCCCGAGGCCGGTGAGAAGACCAAGTACGTCATGTCGGCGCGCGGTGACTCGCTTTGGTCGGCAAGATGTACGCCGAGGCCGACCTCGTCGACGAGAGCAACGCCGAGGACGAGTTCGATGAGGTCATGGCCACCGGCGCTGTCGGATGGAAGCACGTGGCCGACATCCGGGTCGAGTTTGATGACGCCTCGGGCTCGCACGGCGAATTCAAGGCGGCTGCCGTGGACGAGTCGGACGACGCCGGCTTTGTCACCCTCTTTGCCTTCGACTTTGCACCCATGTCGCGCGACGTGCCGACGCCCATCTCGCAGGGCGCGTACGCCCCGGACAGAGTCTACGAGTTTGCCTTCCACTCGGGCACGACCTTTACCCTCACCACGGTCGGCATCGACGCCGACTCGGGCGACTACGTCCTCACCACCTTTTCGGGCGCAAAGACCGTCGACGAGAAGGAGGAGCCCTCGTTCCTCTCCAAGTACGGCACCATGATCTTTATGGTTGCCTTCCTCCTCGGCCGCCCCATCCTCACCAAGTGGCTCGGCGCCCGCCAGCGTGCCAACCTCAAGGACGACTCCGCTGACGGCTCTGATGCCGCCACAAACGCCGAGTAAACACAGCGCTGCGGCTACTTTACTCCATCTGCGCCGCAATCTCGTCGCGGAGCTTAAACTCCTCGGCCTGGGTGTAGTACGAGTCGTCAAAGTGGTGGATGCGGACGTAACCATCCTCACCGCCCGAGGTAAACCCGCGCCCGTTCGGCGCAAAGTCGAGGTAGTTGATGGGACCGAAGTGGCCGGTCACGCCGCCGAGCTCCTCCTCGTACACAGCATGGAAGAACCGGACCTGGAACTTGCCGACACGCGAGTGCGTGGTCGTCACAGACATGGCGTCCTGGCCACCGCCAAGAATGACGTGGTCGTAGATCGGCGAGATCTTGGCCGAGTTGACCGGGTGCTCCGTCCGGTACGTCCGGATCACCGCGTTGCTCTTGACATCCCACAGCATCGCCGTCTTGTCCTTGGACGCCGTGATGAACATCTGCTTGTCGTCCGAGAACGAGAGGTCATGCACACGTGCCCGGTGCCCGTCGAGGTGCGCAAGCTCCTGCTGCGTCTCGGCATCAAACACCCGCACAGACCCGTCGTCCATCCCGCAGTAGATCGACTGGTTGAGCGCAGACCACCGCGCAGTCTGGCACTTCATCCCCAGCCCGAGCTCAAACAGCGGCTCCGACGACTGCGCCTCGCCCATCTCCGCAATCGCGTACACGTACAGGTACGCGTCGTGGCCCATGATCCGGTCTGTCACAAATGCCGCGAGCTTGTTGCCCTCAGACCACTCCGCCACACGCGCAGGCGTCTTGAACTCAAACGCATGCATCTGGCTCCCGTCCTCTACCTTCCAGATCCGAGCCGTGTTATCCGCAGACGCCGTCAGCAGCCGCTCCGTCATAAAGTCCACAGAGCAGTCCCACACCGTACCCTTGTGCCCGTCAAACGTGCCGAGACGCTCGCCGTTGTCCGCAAACCACACATGCGGCGTCGAATCCTTGGACGTCGAGAACACAAGATCGCCCTCGCGGTTGTACTGCACCGTCGTGATCGACCGCTCGTGGCCCTGCAGCATGAACGGCTTCTACTCGCCCTCCCACCGCATCCATCACCAGAATACCGCACAAGCACAGACACACACACAAACACACACGCACACATACATACCATACAGACATATCACCATACACACAACTCTCTCTCTCTCCATGAGTCGCCACCTATTCCGCCCCGTGTGCTTCCCCCCCTACCCCACCCCTTATCCCTCCCCCCCTCGGAGGATTGAAGATTATTGCCGACCCGACACAGCCTCTCCCCCCTTCCATAGCCACCCCCCTACACACACGCACACACCAACCACCACTATACACACACGCTCCCTCCCTCACCGTCTGCGCCACGTACCATGATGGGCAGGTTGGTGAAGTGTACTGTCTCTTCCCCCCTCCCCCCG